TACTTTCCTTCAGTTTTTATCTGATGTCCTCTTTTTGCTCTGGGGTCTGTGCAGTCTCCCACGCAGCCTTTAGTTTTCTGGCTTTTCTGGCTCCTCTTGGCGGTGAATTTCTGGGAACTCCTTGTCTTTGGTAACCTTGACAGCTGTGGATTCATGGATGTTTTTCTCAGGAAGAGTCTGGGTGGTGGGGAGGAGGTCCGAGGGGACTTGTCCTCCAGACCTGTCCCATCAGGAGCCCTGTCCTCCAGTGACACCTCACTGCTTGAGTTGGTGTGGTCACCTGCCCAGGTAGAGCCAGGTTCTCGCCTCCTTCCGGTGCTCTCTGGAAAGGTGTCATTGCACGAGGCCACACCCTGGGTGGGTTGTGGGGTCCCTCTAGTCAGGACAGAGCATTAATATCAATTCTCTCCTGTCCTAACCATTTATTTATTTATTTGATGTTTGTATTTATGTTATTTGATGTTTGTTTATTTATGGTACTGGGAAAACAATCCAGGGCCTTTGAACTGAGTTGCATTCACAGCCCTTTTTTCAGTGCTGGTGCTCGAACTCAGGACCTTGTGCTTGAGAGGCAGGCACAGTGCCACTGAGCCAAATCTCCAGCCCCTCCACAGCCCTTTCTTATTTTGAGAGAAGTTCTCTCTAGGTTTCCAGGTTGCTCAGGCTGGACTCAAACTTGGGGTCCTCCTGCCTTGGCCTCCCAGAGTGGTGGGGTGACCCACACCCGACTTGTTCAGTTCTTTATGACACTGACACTACTGACTTGTGGACAGTGCAGTGGAACTGCTGTCCTGTGGCTCCCCATGTTCCAGCCTCAGCTCCTGGGTACTTGTTCTGTCACGCAGTCACCTCATCCCACAGTGTAGGGGGTGCTGCCCAGGCCCAACCTATGTGTTTTCTGGAGGTGATACTGCTGATACTGTTGTCTAGGCTGGCTTTGAACTTGTGACTCTCCTGTCTCAGCCTCCTGGATGTTGGGGTTACAGGCATGCACCACTATACTGGTCCAAAGAGGCAACTTGGCTCCTAGAGAACCTACAAAGGCCACTAACACCTGACATGATAAAGGTGGCAGGTTTTACAAAACACTGCATTTTCTTCCCCTTACTTTTCTCCAGCAATTCCACATTTCTGGCTGTGTATCATTTTCTTCTAGTCCTTCTGATTAACACTTCCATTAAATGAGTCTTTTTCCAGTGGTTATGAAGCACCTTGCCTCCATTCGGGCCCTGAGAAACAGCGACAGATAATGGAGACAAAAATCTTTGTCTCACCAAGTATGGTAGCACATGCCTGTACTCCCAGCACTTTGGGAGGCTGAAGCAGGAAGATTACAAGTTCAAGCCCAGCCTGGGCAATTTAGCTAGATCCTGTCTTGGGGGAAAATAAATGGTAGGGACTGGAGATGTAGCTCAGTGAGAAGATTCTACATTTAATACCAAACACCGCAACGACGATGACCACTCTTTCCTATCAGAATGCAAATAGAGAAGCATGATCAAAGGACTACATTATACAGATATGGTTTTATCTATCTGTCCCCCAAAGCCTCATGTGCTGAGAGGTGGGGCTTTGGGGAGGTGGTTGGATCATGAGGATGTCATAGTCATCAGTGGATGAGTTTATGACTAAATGTAATACGGGAGGGGCCGGGGATTTAGCTCAGTGTTGCTGCTGCCTGCCTCCCAAACACAAGATTCTGAGTTCGATCCCCTGTACCAACAACGAAAAAAATGAGCAAAAAGAGGACATCGGATAAAACTGAAGAAAAGTAAATACATGTGGACTTGAGTTAATAATAATGTATCCAGCTGGGCATGGTGGAACATGCCTCCAATCCCAGCTACTCAGGAGACTGAGGCAGGAGGTTCTCAAGTTCAAGACCAGCCTGGGCAGCCTGGAGGATGTTGGGAGGCGAGGCCTGGTGAGAGCAGCTGGTCACTGGGGTGTGGCCTGGCAGGGTCTGTCCCCCTCCTCCTTCCTTGATTGCTCTCTGCTTCCTGCTGCCATATCAGGAGCCTCTTCTCTGCGATGCTCCTCTGTCACACCTGCTGTCCTGGGTCCCCAGGTATGGGCCGAAACCTCTGCAAACTATGAGCCAGAATAAAACTCTCCCCTTTAATTTGTGGGTGTCAGGTATTGTGCCTCAGTGACAAGTAACTAAACAGGGGACTACCTACCTTCTGGGGGTCACAAAGGCCACACCGAAAGGTGACCACTGTGATGGGGAAGAGGACTGAGTCTGGGCGGGGCCAAATGAGTGTCAGGGGAAGCAGCAGTCAGAGGCCTGGGCAGTCATGGGGAGGGAGGAAAGCAGGAACTGGCTCTGCACGACACCGAGCCCAGGGCAGTGTTCCTTCCATGGCTCTGCCGGAGGCTGCTTATCTACTGTTTTTCAGTACAGAGTAGAAATGTGCACTCAGGAGCTGGACGTGATGGTACATGCCTGTAACCCCAGCACTTGGGAGGCTGAGGCAGGAGGATCGAGACCAGCCTAGGCTACATAGTGAGTTCCAGGTCAGTCTCAACTATGTAGTGAGACCCTGTCTCAAAAAAAAAAAAAAAGAAAAAAAAAAAAAAAGAAAAAAAAAAAAAAAAAAAGAAGAAAAAAAGAAAGAAAGAAAAAAGGAATGTGCACTCAGTGTTGATATGGAGCTCAAACTCAATGTTTCAGATCCCCAGACAGCAAAGCTTGTCCTGGCTTTGGGTGTCACTTGTAGAAAACAGGAAGGACAGGTTTTGGATAGACGTCCTGAGCACTGTCACATCGAAAGCGACCAAATATGACGTAGAAAATGGAAGTGGCTAACATTTCTTTTTTTCTTTTTGTACCAGGGGTTGAACTCAGGACTTTGCACTTGCAAGACAGGAGTGGTACCACTGAGCTGAATCCCTGGCCCTAGTGATTAACGTTTCTAGAAAAGTTGAGAAGTCCGTGGGGAGGGGTCCATGTGACATATCGTGGCTTCACCAAATGTGCCAGTCTATGGCTGGCAGCCAGGGCACCTCTCTGCTCTGTTCTTGTCACTTCCTGGGGCTCATTCTGTTCCTGATCCCAGAAGGAAGTCACAGTACCAAACCTCCACCAGGCCCAAAGTGAACCAACGACTCCCTTTCCTGGTTTGTCACCAAGGCAGAAAAAGTCTATTCATCTGCAGAATCCCAGTGGGTGTAACCCACAAGTGTTATGTTCAGCGAGCTTGGTGCATCTGGACACAAAAACTGCCTTTGGGAACGGCTTTGGCCTCCTTCAGACAGTGCAGGGGTCCCTGTAAATTGTGCCCAAGTCACAGCTCAAGACCTGCCTCTGGGTATAGAGCTGGCCTCCTGGCAGCACCTCCTCTGCACTGCCCACCTGTGCTGCAGCCCAGCAGGCTCTCCCTCCAGCAAAGTCACCCCAGCTGGGCTGGCGCCCTGGCCCCTTTCCTGTCCCCTCTCCCACCTGAGCCATTTCTGTGGGGAGCACTGAATGAAGCCCTCCCAGTCTGCTCCCCTGGCCCCACTGCTCCCCACCCCAGTATATCTTCTTTCATCTCCAGCCTGCAGTCCTCACATCCCTGACCCTGCTGTTTCTTTCGCTGAGGGACTCCAGGGATATGTGCAGGAGGCCGTGTAGGTGTGGTCCATAGGGGACCCTGATGGGCCAAATGAGCACGAGGTCTGGGCATCCTGAGGCCACCAGCACTCAGCTCCTGCTCAGGCCTTCTTAGGCGCAGAGTGCCCTGAATCCTTGGTACAATCAGTCATACCTCAGGACATGCACCCCTTCCTGCTGGGGGTGGAGGGCGTGGGGTCTCCATGTTTCTCCCCTCCCCAGGAGGAGAGCTGCAGGCCCCTGATGATGTCCATGGCTGGACATGCAGTGTGGTGCTCAGGCTGACCTCGGGCTGACTGGTTACAGGCCTCTCTGAACCTCAGTCTCTTTATCTGTAAGGTGGACATTTACAAAATCCACCTGTGGCGAGAACAGAGGGAATCAGCACCCAGATCTGTGTTGAATGCGTCACTCAGAAGGTTGGACCCACAGTGCCCAAGGTCAGTGTGGGCCCAGCCCTGGCCCCAGCAGCCCCATGTCTGAGGTTAATGTTGCCCGCATGCTAGCCCACACACAGTGGTATCCACATAAGACCATCCCTGAGCATCCTGGGGACCTGATGATCATGTAAAGCACAAAGCCTGTTCCAATGGCAGCTCTGCTGTATGTGCTCCAAGACACAGCATTAGACAGGTATGTGTACATGTGTGGGCTTACTAGGATGTGTGTAAAATATCTGGAAATACCCGTGAGAGTTCAGCATCTATTTACTCTTGGAAGTAGCTGATTTGGAAGGGGGTATTCTCACTCTCCAAATTTTACCCTCCAATTTTAAAAAAAATTTTATTTGAGACAAAGTCTCATAATGTCATCAAGTTGCCCAGGCTGGGGGTCAAACTTGGGATCCTTCTGCCTCAGCCTCCCAGAGTGCTGGGATTCCCAGTGTGTGTCACCACACCCAGGTACATCTTTCTGATTTGAACTCTCTCTCTCTCTCCATATATATATATGAATAACCTAGTAAAAATAAATGCAAACTTAAGAAACTGATAGCTGGGTGGGGCACTCCTGTACTGATTCCTGTACTGATGAGAATTTTGAAACTACAACACTGTTGATTTCTGAACACCACTGAGTTGTCCACTGTGAGGTGGCTCACAGTATTTTATTTTATTTTATTTTTTACCAAATTTCATTCCAATAAGAAAACAAAAAGCAACATGAACCGCTGCCATGGAAAGTGGGTATTCAGTGCACATGGCCTTGAGCGGGGTCCCCATCCCTCCTCGGGTCCCCTGCTGCCCTTTGGGGAGCTGCAAAGTGAGCATAGCAGCCCTTCAAATAAACAGATCTCAGGGTGAGCTGCTTTTCTTGTCTTCTTTCATTATTAAAAAAAAAAAAGTTACATAACAGTATCATTCATCATATATTTCTTGCTTATTTTCCTTTTAAAAAATTAAAGTAATAAAAAAGTTACTTTATAAAATAATACAAAAGAGCATGACAGGCTGGGGCTGGGCAGGCATCCGGCGCTTGGCTCCTGGTTCTCTCTCCCATGGAGGCTGGGGCTGGGCCAGGCAGGTGGGGCTGGGCAGGGTTCCCTGCTGCACAGGGGCTAAGGGTAAGTCACCCTCTCTGGCTGGATCTCCTGAGGTGGCAGGGGAGGAACAGGGAGGCTGCCAGGGGTGGCTGGTGACCTGGGGGAGGCAGGAGGGGCACTGAGGCAGAAGGTGCCTGGCCAGCCGGGGCTGGGTCCTCCTCCAGGTGGCCTCCCTAGCTCCCACTGCTCAGCATCCCCAGCAACTTGCTGGGCTCCAGTCCCTGCTGCTGGGCCACCGTCTGCACGTCGAAGCCCATGTGCATGAGGAACTGGGCCACGTTCATCTCCTGCCCAGTGAACTGGTCCCGAATGGTGGGGCACGAAGGGTTACAGTGGGGCCAGGGGCAGCTGTCCACCAGGTGGATGGGGCAGCCCTTCAGGGGAGTTTTGCTGGCCTTGTGGTTGTCATGGAGGCTTCTGTCCCAACAGTGCAGTGCTCGAGGCAGCGAGGTCCCCTTCACCTGGACTTCTGTCCAGTGGCTGCAGACACAGATGAGGGTGCGGCATGGGGGAGGGGCTTCACGGGGGCTATTGGGGGCTGCATTTTAGGTGGAGCCAGGAGGGGCTGGTGGGAGGGCAAATGTGGGTTTAGGGGTGACTATGGGGCATCTGGAATTAGTGCTGAGAACACAAGCTGCACCAGGATGGGTCACTGACCTCCGGATGATGATCTCGTGGGACAGGCAGGCGGGAGCAAAGCTGGCCCTGGTGGGAGGAGGAGTGGCCTGAGCCCCTTGACCCCAGCCCCTTTGCTCCAGCCTGCTCCCCAGGCCTGTCCTCTGCTGGGTGACCACCAGCTTTCTGACACGGTGGCCAGCACACTCCCACATCCCTTGCCCTTTCTGGCTCCCAGTGCTGCTCAGAGTCTGCCTAGGCAGCTGGACCCTGCCGGGCAGTGGCAAAAGACTGTCCTGGACAGACAAAGCTGCATTTTGGAGACCTCTGTTCCTACATCAAGCGCTTACTGCAGATCTGAAGGGCTGAGTGTGCCCCCCAGAGTGGGGTCCCCCGCACACTCACGGCACGTCCTGGAGTGTGCTGCGCAGCTCACGGCCCAGGTTCTGGATGTACAGCCACTGCCCCTCCTGGACCGGCTGTCCTGTGAGGTGCACGTTGTCCACGGCCAGCTGGGCCTCATCAAACAGCCACTGCACCACGAACACTGGGCCTGGGGGAACACAGCTCAGCTTGGCTCGCCACGGCACTAGAGTCCTTCCCAGTTCCGTGGCAGGCTCACAGGCCAGCCGGGCTCAGCAGGGCTACCGTCACCCCTGGGTCCTTCTTTGTGCATATATGAGGGATGCTGGGATTTGAATCCAGAGCCTCATTCGTGCCAGGCAATCACTCTACCACTGAGCTATACTTCCAGCCCTCCTTCCTTCTTTAAAATATACTTTTTGCCAGGCTTGGTGGCACTCACCTGTAATCCCACCACTTGGGAGGCTAAGGCAGGAAGCTCGCCAAGAGTTCAAGGCCAGCTAGGACTACATAGTGAATTCAAGGGCAGCCAGAACTACATAGCAAAACCCTCTCAAAAAATAACAACAAAAAAATAAAAATAGAATGTACTTTTCCTTGAAGAAAAGTGTTACTGGGGATTGAACCTATGGCTTTTGCACTGAGCTAAATCCTCAGCTCTCTCTCTCTCTCTCTCACTCTATTCTGAGACAGGGTCTCACTAAATTGCTAAATTGTCTGGGCTGGGCTCAAATTTGGCTCAGCTTCCCTGAGTGCTGGCATTGCAGGTGTGAACCACTGCAATTGGCTGAAGGACCCCTGGCCACCACCTTGGCCTGGCCAAAGTTTGGTGAAGCTATCCCCTTGACGGGACCTTATTAATCTTGAGGGTGCGGTGTGGGCAGTACCTTCAGAGCCTCACAGCAGACAGGCAGCATGGGGATTCTGCTCCAAAGCCTATCTGTAAGCACCAGTGTAGACAGGTGACCAACTGTCCTGTTTTGCCTAGGACTGCGGGTTTCAGTACTAAAACCAGGGTAGACAGAGGCAAAGAGGGGCAACTGGTGTAGATGTGGCCACCTCCCTGGGCCAGGGCAGCTGTCTCCGGCCTGCTTCTAAGGATGGGTTTTCAGGAAAGGTGTAGTGAGCCTGGACAGCCCACTGCTGCCCAGGTGCCTCATGGAGCTAGCCACTCACAGCGCAGAGTCGGGTAGACTTTGTAGCCCAGGAAGCAGTTCCACTCCTCGCCCTCCTTGAACTGGCTTCGACAGCGCTCTGGGACCATGCCATTCCAGTACCTAGAGCCAGAGCTTCCGGTTAGCCTGGAGCTCCTCCCTCAGGGACACCACCCAGGTCCTCTTCACCGAGGGTCCTGGAGTCACACCTGATGCCACGGCGGATGGCCTCTGTGGGTGCGCAGGTGACGGTATCGATGCAGTCCGTGTGGCGGTACTGTTTGTTGTCCAGGAACCAGCCTGAGTCAGCCAGACCCCGAACCTGGATGGCTGTGTAGCCCAGTTCCTCCAGCTGCTCAGCCACACGGTCCACATTCAGCAGCACCCCAGTGCCCCCAGCGCTGCAGGGAAGGCCATGCCTGAGCCAGGTGGCTAGGAGGGTGCTCACCACTCACCCCTGAGCCTGCTCAGACCCAGCTCAGGCCCTGAGGAGAGGCAGGGATCCGGATGCCTCTGATTAATGCATTCTGAACTATAGAGCTTTTCATAGGCCCCTGAGAGGCTTGGAGGCCAAGGAGGCTGACGAGCTCCAAGCACTGGTCTGGAGCTACGGTGGGAAGGACGGGGCTCCTCTTTCATGCAAGGGCCTGAGCTCTCCCTTCTCTCCGTCCCTTCCCCTCTCTCTGCCTCAATTTCCTTATCTGAAAATGAAGGTCATCTGTATGCCCTAAGTCCTACTGCGATAGTGACTGACCAGCAGGTGTGACCCTAGACTAGAAGGACTCAGGGCCAGTCCACCATTGACCCCTTATCCACTAACCTGGTCTGTCCCTGCAGCCTAATAGCTATAGAATTCCCAACGATAGAGCACTCTGAGGCCAAACCACCACATGAGGCCCCTAAAAATGCATGTTCTCTGGCTTCAGCTTCTGCCCACCCACCCAATATACACCAAGGCCTGGCAAAGACAGAGCCAGCAAGCTTCTGTGAAGCCAGAGCTCTGGACCCCGGGTCTGGACTCTGGGTCTCTCCTTGACCTGCCACCCACACTCCTGCCCAGCTTGCCCCAAGGGTTCCCCCTTCCTCCCCTCCCCCAGTTCCACCTTCCCACCTGCTCCCAGCCAGCAGCAGCACCTTGGCCCCGCTCAGTCCTCGGCCCAGGAGCTCCTGCACCACCTCTCGGATGATGAGGGCACCCATGAATGCATATTCATCTGTGTGAAGAAGGGGGCTTCACGTGGGGTCTGGGCAGAGAAAAGGCTCCCTACCCTAGGCTGGCAGGTGAAATGGTTCTGGGGTCTTCCTGGGGATGGGCTAGGGGCTGAGCAGGTTGGAGGGCAGTGGGTCCAGTGCAGGAGGCCCTGCTGGAGGCAGACCCCCAAGAGGGACTACTCAGGAGTGGGGGCACTGAAGGGGCCAGGCCAGTCACAGACAAGGTGGTAACCTGGACAGGCTGTCTAGGACTTGAGAAAGTCACAAGGCTGAAAATCTGCATCTTCCCAGAACCCCATCACTGCTCTGCCATGGGGGAGCCAGGGACTCACTCTTCTCAGACTTGGAGGAAGCCCCACTCCAAACGTCACTGGAGCAGTAGGGAATGAAGCTGCAACGCCAGAACGTGTTTGCTCGCTGTGGCCTCTGCTGCCCAGCGGCTCCAGGAAAGACCCTGGGATAGAACTGCCAGGCGGACGCCTCCCAGAAAGGACAACCTCCAACCTCCAGGAAAGATCCCCCAGGACAGGATCCCGCCAATGATCACATCCATCTTCCAGGAAAGTTAACCCCTGAAGGACCACATCCACCCTCCAGAAGGACCCCCCAGGAAGGACCACACCCACACTCCAGAAAGGAACCCCAAGGAGGACCATCTCCCCCAAGGTCCCCTTAGGAAGGACTATCCCCTAGGAAGCACCCCCTGGGAAAACACCCCCCAAGGACCCTGGCCCTTTCTCTTACACCATGTTGGCATTCCACCAGTAGGGGTTCTCCTCTGGCTGAGAGGACAGGATCCCTGTGCCTGGGGACACAGAGGTGGGTGGATCTTTCTTCTGGGAGGAGGGAGCTATGCAGGGATGGGGACTACAGGAAGGTATGAGGGAAGCTTGGGTCCTACTTGGCCTCCTGAGGCAGGTGGGTGGCGCTGGAGGACTGAGCCAAGGTTGCCAGGGAAGGGCGAATGGATGGGTTTAGTTATGTCAGAAAGTCACCATGCCCACTGTGTCCAGCCAGGCTGTGACCCTAGGTGTGACATCCTTGATCTCCCTACACTATGCCAGCAGCTTTGACCTTGGGGCGATGACCTGAGGCCACTGTTGGCACATTAAACCTTGTTTGGGGATCTTAGGGAGAGGTTTAACATTCCCTGGCCTTAGGGAACTCAGCACTCATCTGGGGAAGGGACACTCAGTGGGGATGGGGCTTCTCCATTCTTCTTGAGGACCTCATGGTGACAAACTGCCCAGCCTTGCCCCCTCCGCCTGGCAGGTCCTGAAATACTCACCTGTGCGAGTCTGGGGCCAGTCTTTGGAGCTCATGAGGCGCCGCATGGTGTCATATCTGGAGTTACAGTTCTCCCGGCTGAAGCAGTACCAGCCACCTACAGGTACAACCGTCCCAATAGATCTGAGGTTCCATGGAACCCGCCCCCCCATCCTGAGCCTCAGCTCCTGGCACGTACCTTCCAGGAAGAGTAGCCACCGCCGGCTACCCTTGGACTCCTTCAGGTAGTAGCTGCAGGGACGCGAAGCAGGTGGTCATCCGGGGTTGCAAAGGGCAAGGGTAGCACTGGCTCTCCGCCGCCCTCACCCCTCCACCCCAAGGAAAGGGTCAATCCACCTGTCGCCCGGGGTCGCGAGACGGCCACATGGGGGCACCAGTGGCCAGGCCCACACAGAGCTTTGGAGCAGTGCGGCCGTCCCGGGAGGTGGCGCTCGCGCGACGGGGAAGAGACACGAGGGTAGTGTGGTCTGTGGAAAATCCCCACGGCTTTCCGGGCGCAGGACCCACTGTGACCCCAGCGCCCGCGGCGGGCGGGGGGGCGCCCCTAGGGGCACAGTGGCACTTGGAGAGGAGCACCCGCTCTGGAAGCCTGTGTGTGGGCGAGGGCAGCGAGACGTGCCAGGCGGCCTGGGGGCGCGGGCGCCACCGAGGCTGGGTCGCAGCCCCCCCCCGTCAGGCCTCAGGAGGACCCAATGAGCACATGGGCGCCCGGAGCCCTTCCCAATCCCTTGACTCAAATCTTTCCTTCACCTGGGGCTAGGATGTGAGAATGAATGCGGACCCCCGGGTCCTTCAGCCCACCTGTGCCCCTCCTTGCCCCTGTGTCCCGCGATGGGATTCCTGACTGTTGAGAGTCAAGCTGGGGCGGCGGTGAGGAGCAGCAGGGCTCTCCTCCAACCCCCCTCGTGTCGCTTCTTCGTTCTGAACCTGGGCCACTCACGAAGAACGTGGGCAGAGGGGCTGGGCACGGTGGCCAAGGGGTCAGTGCCCGCGCTGGTCGGGGACCAGGTCTTCAAGCGCCCCCAACCCCCACCCGGATTCTGCAAGAGGGGAGTCCTCAGCCAGGCCTTCCCAGGAGCAGCGCCCGGCGCCCAATGGGAACCTTTCGCCGAGGGCGAGCACTGCCTGGGACAGCCCCGAGGGTCCAACGCAGAGTCCCCGTGTACGCGCGCGCGCGTGCGGGGGGGGGGACGGAGACGCCGACGAAGAGGCGGTGGTCCTGCGGGGTCCTGGAGGGTGGCCCTTACCCGGCCGGGCTGCCATCGTTGCAGGTCACCGACGTGTTAAGCAGGAGGTGCAGGCGCAGGTCCTCGTTGAGCTGCTGCGCAGAGCAGGGGTACAGAGACTGTGCCAGGCTCTTGACCTGCGCCATGAAGCTGTCCATATTGCCTTCCACGGCTGTGAAGTCCAGCGGGAAGCTCTCCACCGCCTGCCCAGTGCC